ATATATATATATATATATATATATATGCATGTAAACTATGTAAAGTGTGTTGCACTCAAAACATATATACCTATACTTATACTCTGCACGCAGCCTTTAATTTCCTTTCTCTCCTACATAATCGTTCTATCGCTTCTTGATAATGGGGTCAAACGAAAACCGATTAACCCACGTATATACTCGCAAGTACTTACACAGGGAAAAGAGTGAACAGAAAAATCAAATCCTTTTAATTTTGTTACATATACGTATACCTATGTACGTATGTATGTTGTATTTTCTTATCTATTGCTCCAAAACGAAGCGAAAAAGTTGTGCTCCAAAACGAACGAAATGGACATTTGCATGCAGTAGGTATAGGTATAGACGCAAGCAATCTCTACTTGAGAAATCGGATCAACCGGACGCAGTATCCCACAGAGTTTCACGCAGCGGAGGATGGAGTGGATGAATGGAACATAGTTTGACGAGCATATGGAAAACATAGAGAGAGAATATCGAGGTAAAAGACGAACCTGTCGAGGCTGGGATCGGCATCGTTGAGGAAGACCCGGGTGAGTTTTTTGCAGTGGGCGCGCTCGAGGTGCTGCGACACGGCCGGGCTGTACGGCCTCCATCTGCCCTGGCGGTTCTCCCATTACCAGACGACGACCGCGTGGCCACCCTGATTGATCGGTGGTGGTGGCGGCAGAGGTGGGGGCGGCGGCTGCTGTCCTTGGCAGCCGTTCATGGTTTATCGGCACCACCTCCTGCTGCTGTACCCTCTACGTGCTCTTATCACTGCTACACTCGACTCGTTGCACCGAGACCCACGTTACTCACACACTGGGCATATATGTATTTTATATACTTGTATCTATGATAAATATTTTGTGCTCCCCGAGTCCTCGAAGTATGGGTACATCCGCAGTAGCCGCACCACACGCGCACGCACCCACTTGTGCGTGATATTTGTTATCGCACTGAAATGACCAAGCGAGCGAGCAAGAGAGAGAGAGAGAGAGAGAGTCTCCAAGCCGATTTCTCTTTTTCCTTCTTTTGCTTCTTCGTCTTCTTCTTCTTCTTCGTCGTCCTCGTCCTCGTCGTCGTCACTCGTGTACGAGTGTTGTTGTGTAGCCGCTCGGTGCTGCGGTGCAGGCCGTGCAGGTCGCTCTGCCGGATCGTGGGAACATTTTCTTCTCTCCCACGCCGCTCTCTCGCTCTCTCGCTTCTTCTTACTGTCTTTTTCGCTATCTCCCTCTCGTCTGTCCGTTCAAGAGAGGGACTTCAATTAAATCGTCTCTCTCTCTCTCTCTCTCCTTCTTCTCCGCTTTACCCTTTCCTTATTGTATACCCCCTTCGTTTCTCGGTCTCCTCTGATCCTTTCGGCTCGTCTCCTACTCTCGTGGGGCGCGCGAAATCCGCGGAAGGATCCGAAGAATCTTTTCCCTATACGTATATACTATACATACATGCACGGGTATAATCTCTGAAATTATTATTATTATTATTATTATTCTCGTGCACGTCGAGTGTTATCTTATGGTATAGTTTAATGCATCAACTCGCGATCGGTCTGACATTATAATAATCTGAGATCGGTAACTCCAGAATGATGTTGTACTCATTCTATCTCATCATTGTTATCGTCACGGTTTATGTATACATATACGTCAAAACCAAAGGACCAAGGTCGCGCAAAAACAAACACGACAGAGGATATTATAACACGAGATAAAATATGGTTATTGTATTATTTGTGGTTTGTCGTGTCGAATAGTTATTAAATTAGGTACGCTGCACCACATGATATTATATGCGCACTGGTTGTGCAAAAGCGCGCTAGATATGATACACCATGCACTATTACATTGCGCGAACGAGGCCAAGCACTCGAGAGACTGCATCAGCACAACTGGCTGAGCTGCAGGATGTTAAGTACAGTCGGGCTAGCTCTTGGGAAAAGAGAGAAAGAGAAAAATCGGCACCGTCTCCCCTTATACACACGTTTTGGTTCTCTTTTATATTGCCGCTCTCTCTCTCTCTCTCTCTCTCTCTCTCTCTCTCTGGAGTACCATCACAAACTGCAGCAAGTGCACTGCCTGCGTATACTCCGGTTTTATATTTATATATACATGTACATCTCTGGTGGATGCTATACGCTCAAAACGCTCTTCTCTCTCTCTCTCTCTCTCTCTCTGCTTTCCCCCTTTACACATTGGTTACATACGTGCGATTTCTTTTTTTTGTTGCACTAGCCGTATGCCGTGATCCCATGTCCCTATCATCTTTTAAATCCACGCAGTATGGCGCTGATCACCCCTCTATGGTATATATATATATAT